GAGCAGAGCAGAGCAGAGCAGAGCAGAGCAGAGCAGAGTAGAGTAGAGTAGAGTAGAGTAGAGTAGAGTAGAGTAGAGTAGAGTAGAGTAGAGTAGAGCAGAGCAGAGCAGAGCAGAGCAGAGCAGAGCAGAGCAGAGCAGAGCAGAGCAGAGCAGAGCAGAGCAGAGCAGAGCAGAGCAGAGTAGAGTAGAGTAGAGTAGAGTAGAGTAGAGTAGAGTAGAGTAGAGCAGAGTAGAGCAGAGCAGAGCAGAGCAGAGCAGAGCAGAGCAGAGCAGAGCAGAGCAGAGTAGAGCAGAGTAGAGTAGAGTAGAGTAGAGTAGAGTAGAGTAGAGTAGAGTAGAGTAGAGTGGAGTGGAGTGGGGCTGGTGAAATGGGGCTATGGTTAATCACATGCTAAAGCTGAAACCTGTGTCTCTTTATTCTTATTACCAGCGCAGGTCGATAAGTATCGGTCCATCTGCATATAACTGAGTGTGTGTCCATGATGCTCCATGATGACTTTAACACTAATCGATCTGAGATGGAAGCAGCCGAGAGGATGTTAACGGCCTAATTCTCTTTAACGACCTTTTCCTCGTCAAGGGCATCACAATATACACTTAAAAAGGCATTTCTGCTTCTCTCCTTTATCGAGGAATGTAGGCCAGAGAGAGAGAGACCAGAGAGAGAGAGAGAGAGAGACCGGAGAGAGTGAGAGCAAGACCAGAGAGAGAGGGAGAGACCAGAGAGAAAGACCAGAGCGAGAGCGAAACCAGAGAGAGTCCAGAGCGAGACCAGAGAAAGACCAGAGAAAGCGAGACCAGAGAGAGAGACCCGAGAGAAAGAGAGAGAGACCAGAGAGAAAGAGAGAGAGACCAGAGAGAGAGGGGGAGACCAGAGGGGGAGACCAGAGAGGGACGAGAAAAAGACCAAAGAATAACAGACAGAAAGAGACCGGAGAGAGACCAGGAAGTGGCCAGAGAGAGAGACCAGAGAATGGCCAGAGAGAGAGACTATAGAGAGACCGTAGAAAACAGAAATCTAGTATTACCACATTTTTTCTTGACAAAAGCCCTGGTTTAGGGACCAGCAGAGACGGCAAAGATGAAAAATTATACTAAATCATAACTGACATTTCTAACCATTTCATTCCTGCCCGGTTTCCACTCTCACTGCACCAGACCGGGCAACCCATCACATAAATCCTGGTATAATGAACCAGCCGCATTTCATGGTTAATTAATATGATGATTCTACACCATCATCACGAGCCTCTGTACGTGAGAACCAGAACACACCGGATCCATACCATCAGAGCCAAATATCTCTGCTAATGTTATTCTGCAGCACTCACAGAAGAGCACATTAATCCAGGATAATTACCACAGCAAGGCAAATACAGACACATTAATGACCAGGTCCCATCTCCTCAGGCTCTGGTCTCTCTCTCTCTGGTCTCTCTCTCTCTGGCCTACATTCCTTGATGCAGGAGAGAAGCAGTAAATGCCTTTTTAAGTGTATATTGTGATGTCCTTGATGAGGAAAGAATTGTTAAAGAAAATTAGGCCGTTAACATCCTACGTAAGCTTCCATCTGGGAATCGATTTGGGTTTCTGTTCTCTCTGTGGTCTCTCTCTGTGGTCTCTCTCTGTGGTCTCTCTCTATGGTCTCTCTCTGTGGTCTCTCTCTGTGGTCTCTCGCTGGTCTCTCTCTGTGGTCTCTCTTCCATGTGTCTTTTCTCTCTGATCTCAGTCTGGTTTCTCCCTAGTCTCTCTCAAAAGAGAGCAGAAAGTGACTAGAGAGAGAGAGACCACAAAGAGAGACCAGATGGAGACTGGAGAGAGACCAGAGAGAGACCATAGAGAGAGCAGAGTGAGACCAGTGATAAGAGAGAGTGACCAAAGAGAGACCATAGAGAGACCAGTAATAAGAGAGAGACCATAGAGAGACCAGTGATAAAAGAAAAAAAGAAAGAGAAAGAGAGAGACCAGTGATACAAGAGAGACCATAGAGAGACCAGTGATAAGAGAGAAAGACCACAGAGAGACCAGTGATAAGAAAGAGAGACCATAGAGAGACCAGTGATAAGAGGGAGAGACCATAGAGAGACCAGTGATAAGAGAGAGAGAGAGAGAGACCATAGAGAGATCAGTGATAAGAGCGAGAGAGACCAGAGCGAGACCAGTGATAAGAAAGAGAGACCATAGAGAGACCAGTGATAAGAGAGAAAGACCATAGAGAGACCAGTGATAAGATAGATAGACCATAGAGAGACCAGTGATAAGAGAGAGAGACCATAGAGAGACCAGTGATAAGAAAGAGAGACCATAGAGAGACCAGTGATAAGATAGATAGACCATAGAGAGACCAGTGATAAGAAAGAGAGACCATAGAGAGACCAGTGATAAGAGAGAGAGACCATAGAGAGACCAGTGATAAGAGAGAGAGACCATAGCGAGAGCAGACCCTCCTGCTTCACCGATTTAAAGCTAACATCCTCTCGTTGTAAGACTGCTTCCATTTATTACACGTGAGAAACCTTTATCGCTGCACATGTGCACGAGGCAAGGGCAGCGTGGTGCGACAGAGACTGGATGAGCTAGCGTTAGCCATAAAACACTAGCGGAAAGATAGAAGCGTTTAGCCACAGACAGACGCGTGGTTGACAAACACGCTCTTTAGCCGCCATTTTTACATTTTATCATTGAAGTCAATGAGGCAATCTACAATTTAGGAGCCGGAGCGCGGTCACACAGCCAATCTCCCACTAAAGAGCAGCCATCGCCGAGTAATGCCGCGTTGGTGTAATGGTCCCAAACCGCGGCCGCCTCCCCACACTGATCATTGCTTTAACCCAATCACACATTACACCGGGAAACAACCGTAAACTTTATCTCTGCCGCGGTAATAAAAGCACAAATGGAAAAAGAGACGGGATCCTCTCAGGGACCTGGCGGATTCGCTCGCACACAGATGTTTGTACGACACGACGAAAGATTATGATTTTATATTGTGGAGAGAGTGGGAGAGCAGCAGTGATGTTAACTGAGGCTGTAGATCCAGGACTGAGGCTGTAGATCCAGGACTGAGGCTGTAGGTCCAGGACTGAGGCTGTAGATCCAGGACTGAGGCTGTAGGTCCAGGACTGAGGCTGTAGATCCAGGACTGAGGCTGTACATCCAGGACTGAGGCTGTAGATCCAGGACTGAGGCTGTAGATCCAGGACTGAGGCTGTACATCCAGGACTGAGGCTGTAGATCCAGGACTGAGGCTGTAGATCCAGGACTGAGGCTGTAGACCCAGGACTGAGGCTGTAGACCCAGGACTGAGGCTGTAGGTCCAGGGCCGGTCTCTCTCTGGTCTCACTCCTTTTCTATCTAAAAAGGCAGATCTAGAGCTGAAACAGAAGCCAAAAAGACAAAAACATGGTCTCTCTCTCTGGTCTCTCTATCTGGTCCCTCTCTCGTGTCTCTCATTGGTCTCTCTCTGGTCTCTCTCTCTGGTCTCTCTCTGGTCTCTCTCTCTGGTCTCTCTCTCTGGTCACTCCCTGGTCACTCTCTGGTGTCTCTCTGGTCTCTCTCTTGTCTCTTTCTGGTCTCTCGCTCTGGTCTCTCTCTGGTTTCTTTCTGGGCTCTTTCTGTTCTCTCTCTCTGGTCTCTTTCTCTTCTCTCTGGTCTCTCTCTGGTCTCTCTCTTTGGTCTCTCTCTGGTCTCTCTCTGGTCTCTCTCTGGTCTCTCTCTGATACTTCTGCCTCCTGCTGCTGTCAGTCTCTCCCGGTTTGACGGATGACTCTCTACCATCTGCCTATAATGGGGCACATCAAAAGTGCTTAAGTCCAGGTTCAGGTCCGGGTCCAGGTCTTGATCAGGGTCTTGGTCCGGGTCTTCCCCCTCCGCACGCCGGGGTAATGACTGCGTTAGCGTCAGGCAGAGGTCATCCACGAGGAATTTAAATAATGTCTTTTTACTCAAAATGTTTTACAAGTGAATGACCACATCTGTAATGGGGTAGACGTGATAAAACCTCTGGTGTTAGTTAAAGGGGACTGACACCAGGTGGGCTGACACCAAGTGGGCGTCTGAGAGTACATGTTATTGGCTTTTTATCACAAGCAGAATTTGGTGTTATGGTTTGATGTTTGAACCATTGTGGATTAATTTAATGTTGTAGAAATGGGCACGTTCTTTGCAAAATCGCAGAATCTGTTCGTCCCTGGACCCTTTGTCTCTGTGTTTTGCTCTCTGGTCTCTTTCTGGTCTCTATGTTCTCTCTCTTCTCTAGTCTCTCTTTCTGGCCTCTCTATGGTCTCTCTCTGGTCACTCTATGGTCTCTCTTTCTCTGGTCTCTGTATGGTCTCTCTTTCGTCTCTCTGTCTGGTCTCTGTGGTCTCTATCTGGGTTTCTCTCTAGTCTCTCTTTTTCTGGTCTCTCTCTGTAGTTCCTCTTTGAACTCTCTCTTTTCTCTCTGATCTCTCTCCCTCTCTGTGTTTCTCTCTTGTCTCTCTCCCTTTTCTCTGGTCTCTCTCTCTCTACATGATTTCCTCAACATTCTTAGCACATCCAGACACTGAAAGTTTTTCCCATGGGTTTCTGTGTCCTTACTCCTGGTCTCAGTCTCACACAGGTATGAATACTTTTGCACGGCCCACTGTCTCTGTATCACTTCACTGTCATCTCCAACAAACACACATCTTAAAGTTAGAGTATTTTAGAGCTCCTGCAGTATCAGTACTTTAAATACATCGGTAGAAACACGGACTGGAACGAGCGCTGATAATGGCTGAAGGTGATGGCGCCAATTAACCTTTTCTCTGTCGTTTTGTTCATCAAAGTCACTGCGTTTAATAACAGCCGTCATCAAAGGATTATGCAAATGAGGTCGTATTATGCTAATGAGGAGCCTGATAATGAGGCCTGACAGAGACTACAGCCACCCCTGAGGTGACAGAGACTACAGCCGCTCCTCACAGACTTCCGCCGACCCTGAGGTGACAGCGACTACAGCCGCTCCTGAGGTGAACATGACTACAGCCGCCCCTGAGGTGACAGAGACTACAGCCACCCCTGAGGTGACAGAGACTACAGCCGCCCCTGAGGTGACAGAGACTACAGCCGCTCCTGAGGTGACAGAGACTACAGCCGTTCCTCACAGACTTCAGCCGACCCTGAGGTGACAGAGACTACAGCCGCCCCTGAGGTGACAGCGACTACAGCCGCTCCTGAGGTGACAGAGACTACAGCCACCCCTGGGTGACAGAGACTACAGCCACCCCTGAGGTGACAGAGACTACAGCCGCTCCTGAGGTGACAGCGACTACAGCCGCTCCTGAGGTGACAGAGACCACAGCCGCCCCTCTCCCTACTCTTTCTCTCATCTGTCTCTCTCTTATCTGTATCAGTAGCGGCGCCAGGTTTGCAATTTTGGGTAGGCCTGCAGATTAGTAAGTAGGCCAAATTCGCACGCAAACTACAAGGGGTAGCTGGAATTGGGGTTTCAAAGAATATGGTTCAAACGCACGCACGCGCACACACACGCACCCAAGCTCATTTATGAAACTTGCGTAGAAAAATGTGTACATTTGGGGTGTATATTCCATTTACGCAAAATCCAACGTCGGATTTATGAACGTGTGAGATCAGCCCAGATCTGAGCGTATACGCAGCTGCGGGTGATGATAAATCGGCTGAATACGAACGTATTTATGAAAGTCACGCCTAGAATTATGCAGCAATGTTCGCGACAGGTCAGCACGGAAGTCCAAAAAGACTGTTGGAAGCCTCAAAAGGCACGTTTGTTTGTTATGTTTATGTAAAAATAAATATATGCTACATATTCAGCTGCGTTTTGCACAAATTTGCAAAAATAGTTTTGATACATTAGAAAAATCTCTCTTGAATTGTAGAAGTGAATAAATATAGATTGATTGAATGAATGAATTCATATTTATTATGCAGCGGTGGCTCTCATGAATGAAGCGTCTGCAGTGTCTTGGACGCAGCCTGGATCGGGGTAGAAGTGCGCATTGAAGCACTGTACACTTCAGAGAGAGCCAAAACTTCTGCACATTTGAGGAGTTACAGTATGTGGCGCGATATCTCACGGCACTCGCCGCGCACTCTGGACAGGGCAGTGAGACATTTGGAGTGAGCAATACCATTGGTGCGTTATTGGGGTGTGTGTCTGTGTGAGGCTTACACAAATCTAATGAAATAACACATTGCTTTACCAGATGTGAGGAATACAAATAGCCGTGCGTAATTACGCAGTGCAGAGCCTGTCACAGCAATAGCTGGGTCACACATCCCTGTTGCGTAAAGTGTATTTATATAGAGCCTTTCACAGTTCAGGATCACAAACCGCTTCACATTTTAAAAACATATACAGATCAAAATAATACACACACAAGTCAGATTTAATCGAGGGTCCTGATCATGAGCTGTGATTTATTCGAAGTTTGCATTTTTCCATTAGACCTTTTCCGATGCGCAAATTCAACTTTTGAAACATGATGCTCAATGAAAACACAGCTTATAATTTTGCCAGAGGGAATATGTTTATTGTTGTCCAAATCCTGAATTTCATGCGTGTTTTGGCGTGTTGAGCCGAAGGTTGAGATCAGCGTATACGTTTACTCCACCTCCAGACCTGCCGTATATTTTTTTGCGTATTGTACGCTCACGTCCAGATAGATAAATGCGGAAAAGTGATTCCACCCTGATTTACACCCTGATTTGTCCGTACGCAAGTTTCATACATGGCTCATCAGTACGAGGTGAACCTGGCCTGACTGCGCTCTCCTCCTCTGGGACCTACGGGCCCGGGCCTCTGGCTCCTCTACCTCACAAAGTTCACGTTGAACTTTCTTAAAACTAAAATGACTAAAAAGGCTGCTCTGTTGTGAATGTTTTGAGAGCGTTGTCAATCTTTAAGACGAGGAATAGCTGCTTGTTCTCGGGAACGAGCTTTGCGCTGTGTGATATGATCATGCAGATTATTGGACAAAATTATTCAGCCAATAAACAGGACTATATTTGAAGCAACGTGAACGCTCAGGGGGTTACATTTTCTTAAAACATTAGAACGCAACATTTAGCCAATAATGTGTGTATAAAAATAACAATATTTAAATTATGACTTTTAATAAAAAGGCTAATGACTTGAGAGGCGAAGAACAAATTTGAGTAGGCCAAGAAAAAAACTGGTAGTCACCGGCCTACCCGGGCCTATCCCTGGCGCCGCGGCTGATCCGTATGTCTCTCTCCCCTCTACTATCCTGTCTTTCTCTCTCTTTCCTCTCTCTCTCTCTCCTCTCTCTCTTTCCTCTCTCTCTCTCTCCTCTCTCTCTTTCCTCTCTCTCTCTCTCCTCTCCCCTCGCTCCCTTGTCTCTTCTCTCCATCATGTTACTAAAACATGTTCTATATAAGATAGAGCCTTGTGAGTCAGTTTTGCCTCGCTGGGCTGAGATGTGACTGTGTAAAGACAATAATACAAAAATAACAATCTTATCCTTCTGTCCTTCACTCAAACTCAAACCTGTCCTGTCCCTCAACGCAAACTCCTCAAAGTGAATTCATTCCAATTTCCTCTGGAGGGAGAGCACAAACTTACCTACACACATTATTTTCTAATGCGGGTAAAGTCTCTACAACTGGATTTCTCTCTCTCTCTCTCTGTCTCTCTCTCTGTCTCTCTCTCTGTCTCTCTCTCTGTCTCTCTCTCTCTCTCTCTCTCTCTGTCTCTCTCTGTCTCTCTCTCTGCTTTGTTGCCTGAGTGTGACGGCGGCCATCTTGGTGCTGTTCACGCATTTCTGATCTCATCTCCCTCCGATGAATTTGTCAACAAGATGAATGGATTGCGGAGATTCCTGTGTCCGCTCCGGTCTCACGTCGCAGTTTGTTTTCGAGGAAGGCTTTTGCGATTGATGGCGGTGATTTTAGACCAAGTTCAAACTAATTTAGAGGTGGTTCTGTTTCAGCTTTACAAAACAGATATTACACAGTGTTTTTGTTTTTTTTTTTTAAGAAAAAAGCGAATGTATTTAAACCATGTTAGCAACACATCTGCTTCTGTTATGGCGGAACAAATGCCCATATAAGGAAAGTGGCTCCAGCTAGCTAATGTTCGAATTAGCATGATCCTCTTTGAGGCTAACGCTATTTGGTGACGTTAGTCCACTAAAACAGTATATGCTCTACAGGTGCACTGCAGTGTGACTTATTTTGAAAAAGTCTCTCTCTCTGGTCTCCCTCTGGTTAATGGTCTTGTAAGTCTCTCTCTTAGGCTCTCTCTCTCATTCTCTGCTTTCTTTTCTCTCTCTTGTCTCTCTCTAGTTTCTCTCTGGTCTCTCTCTTGTCTCTCTCTCTTGTCTCCCTCTCTCTGGTAGCTCTCTTTCTGCTCTCTCTCTCATTTTGTGCTTCACCCAGAATGTGTCTGTCTTTCTCTGTTTCTCTCTCTGTGTCTCTTTCTCTATCTCTGTTTCGCTCTCTTTCTCTGTTTTTCTTTCTGTCTTTCTGTTTCTCTCTTTTTTGTTTCTCCCTCTGTCTTTCTTTCTCTCTCCCATAATGAAAGAGGGATCTTCTCTCATGGACAAACAGCCGTATTAGGCCAGAAAAAGTTCACATTGAAGGCCTCAGCGTTAAAAGCTTTATTAAAGTGAATGTCATCGGTCTGATAATAATCCAGCCTAAAAGTCTAAAATCTCCAACTTTAGCAAGACTTAAGAACAAAATTTAAACTGTTTTAGTCGATCGATTTCAGCATCAATTGTTTCCAACACTTTTTAAGTTTGTTTTATTGCTGTACTTTTAACCAGGTTCTTTATTTATGTACCTGTCTGGTGCACACTGGGGACTTTTGCACAATTATTCCAACTTGGTTTTATTGCAAATGACAAATAACCGGAATCTGTATCTGGTACAACACACCATGGTATCTATATTTAACCTTATCAAGTTTTCTTCTTCCTTCTCCCGTTCAGGCAACTATTTTGGTTTAATAATGTATTTTATCTTTTTCCCTCTTATGCATGTTAGCAATACTTTATTTTTATTTTTTTGGAAACTATGATGGAAAAGAGGTGACTTGTGCTCAATGTGAAATACCTGAAATGAATAAACAAACAAACAAACCTCCTCATGTGCAGCATTATGTGAATAGTAACAACTAAAATCAGAAAAACCTGTACTTTCCTCTCTCCTCACCGTCTGCGCTTGTCTTTCGAGGCCTCTGTGCTTCGTGTGTGGGACCGGGGCCTTCTGCTCACGCTCTCTCCCCCGTCGCCTCACCCCCGTGTCCCCCTCATGTCCCCCATTACCACCACAATAGCCCCATATGGAGAGCAGACGGCACGCAGAAGCTAGGCTCAAACGCCGCGGTCACTGGGAGGTTAGCGCGCTTAGCATAACAAAAACACGAGAAAGGGCCAGTCTCTTTTAGCCCCGTTTAGCTCCATTATCGGCGCGACGTTAGCGCTAAGATTTATGACCGCCGGACAATAGCCCCCGGGCGAGAAGAGAGTCCCGGAATGGCCTCACGCGGTGTTCATCAAATCAGCATCATGTCGCGTCCATCTGAAAGTTAGCATTGTTAGCGTTATTAGCTTTGTTAGCGCTGTAATTGCAATGTACACAGCGCTAATGGGGTTTAGGCTAGCTCAGAGCGGAATAATGAGGTTAGCCGAGAGCGGGCCTCGCAGACAGCAGCGAAAACACACAAAGAAATGTCGTTAGCGGCGATTTATAAACTGCTGAGTCGTGGGTTTGGAACAGAGGAAACTGCATTAACGACTTCAACACACTCAGAGACACACCAGGAAGTGAGACTAATGTGGCCTGGATTATGACAAATGTTTTCATTGGTTTAAAACATGGGACGAACTGATGAAAACTTGGATTAACAAAATATTTGGATTTAAGGACAAAACATTTACTTTCTCCAAACAATGACTTTCTCAAGTGAAATGAGAATCTGGAATATTTTACTCTAGTCTACTCTCCACTCTACTTTACTCTACTCTACTTTACTCTCTACTGTATACTCTAATCTACGCTACTCTATTACTCTCTACTCTGCTCTACTCTATTACTCTCTACTCTGCTCTACTCTATTACTCTCTACTCTATACTCTACTCTGCTCTACTCTACTCTACTCTATTCTACTCTACTCTACTTTACTCTCTACTCTACTCTACTCTCTAATCTACTCTACTCTACTCTCTACTCCAGTGTTTTTCAACCTTTTTTGAGCCAAGGCACACTTTTTTCATTGAAAAAATTCCGCGGCACACCTCCAGGAGAAAATGTAAAAATATATACTATACATACTCTATGTGAGATCAATAAAGTATATCTTATCTTATAATATATATATACTCTGTAGCCTATATTCACAATATACAGTTCACAATATACAGTTATCAAATCTCATCAAAGTGCTTAATTCCAGGCCTTGACATTAAGCTTTATTTAATATTTCTCAATACAATGAGTTAAAGCTGCACTAACTGACTTTGGGATTTTGAAGCCGCAGACTCGCTGGCCTCGCTCTTTCTGCTCCCCTCCCCGCACCCACGAAGCTATCGCCCCCCACACACACCCACTGTTGGGACGGAGCTAGTGTCTCCCAATATGGATAATACATGGATATGGATTTGCACGTGGATGGCGTGACCATAAAACGATAGAACCGGGAAGCGCGGAGGAACGGGGCTTTCTTTTGGATGGCTGTTTCGCTAAGTAAGCAGTAACCGGTGATGAAGACACACGAAGCTTCAGGTTAGCTCCTCGTCTTGTTGTGCTAACTCAGCCGTCTATGCTAACGGACCTGTAGATTTCTCACGAAAGTGGGGGCAAGTGGTCCGCTGTGATTGGTCACAATCTGCGACCCGAAACACATTCTCTTCCTTGTTTCATCAAAACTCGATCTAAAATATAATGTCACGCCAGCACAAATCTGCGCTAATTATTCTTCAAAAGGACGTATATCCCAATGCACTGCATGGACATGGATAGCACTTTCGTAATGAATACGAAAATAAAGTCAGTTAGTGCAGCTTTAACAAGAGTTTGGGAATAAAGTGGCACTAACTGTGTGGAAAAAACAAACAAAAACAATCTACTCTCGGCCCAATAGTCAAATAATTAAGTACACAAATAACATGCATTGTTAGTGCATGGGGAAAATGTAGGTACGCAAGCTTTAAATTCAGGAGTTTTGGATGAGGGACACGGCAGGTCCTGAACACGAGTCCATGGTTCTGTCTGGTCCACATGTCTATGGTTCTGTCCGGTCCGCATGTCTATGGTTCTGTCCACGCGACTATGGTCTGCGCTCGGTACCCAGTTCGGATGTGCGTTTGGGTGAGCTGTTGTACAAAAACACTGCTCTACTCCACCCTACTCTCTACTCTCTACTCTACCCTACTCTACTCTACTCTACTCTACTCTGCTCTACTATACTTTACTCTCTACTCTACTCTACTAAACTTTACTTTCTATACTTACTGATTCTATCTTATGTAAATATTGACTCTCTGTGTTTCTGTGATGCATTTTGTCACTTCCTCTTTAGTATTATACGAGTGCATGTGTTTGTGTTTCCATTTACAGTTTTGGTCATGGTTTACAAGTTGCCTCTTTCTGACTCCTCTCCCATTTGTACGCCACACTTCCAAATAAAGATTATTAAAACAAAACAAAAAACATGTCATCTATGTGACCAAAAACACTGCAGTCCCGCTCTTTAAAGCAGAACACAGCGCCCCCTATGGCCCACTCTCCTCTGCTCTCCTGGGACCTGCAGAGGAGCAGCTTGGCCCTCAGGCTGCAGGTCTGGGTCGTCCCGTGGGGGAAATCTCAGAAACATATTATGGGGGAAACAAGCGGCCCCCAGAGGCCTTTTGGGGCCTGTGTTTCTCAGTGTCAGATATGTAATCCTTTTGTCAAGGGTCCTTTCCAAGACGGGACACATATGCAGGCTTTGTGTGGGGCTCCCAGGGACACGGGCCGCTGTAGGGGCCTGAGGCGGGACTGGCCTTTGATGGTGGGGGAGATCAAAGAACAAAACCAACTCAATATGTTTGTGTAGCGCACTGAATCCCAACAGAGAAACAAAAAACATATTAACAAATCTTAAATAAAGATAAACAGCGGAGGAAAAAGTGAGAGAAACCTCCTGGACTGAGGCTGTAGATCCAGGACTGAGGCTGTAGATCCAGGACTGAGGCTGTAGACCCAGGACTGAGGCTGTAGACCCAGGACTGAGGCTGTAGACCCAGGACTGAGGCTGTAGAAAGACAAGGGAGAGACAGCCTATGTGAGACTATAGGAAGGGACGGACCACAGAGAGAGATCAGAAGGAGACAAGAGACCACAGAGAGACCGGAGTTTGCGGTTAGTCATTGGTTCCCGGACCAGCCAAGCGTGAGTCTCCCTCTAAAGATCAGGAAGAGGAGGCTCCGTCATCAGCTCAGAGGAGGTCACAGCTGAGCAACCATCAGGGAGGAGACACTTTATGTGCTCATTCTAGTCACTTATTCAACTATTACACTTTTATTGCCATTTTGTTTTCTGCCCTCTGCATTACCAGTCAGGGCAGTAAATATTGAGTCTCTCTCTGGTCTCGCTCTGATTCCTCTCTGGTCTCTCTCTCTGGTCTTTCTCTGGTCTCTCTCTGGTCTCCCAGAGGCTTCATAAAGGTAATGTCAGTCTGTAAAGGGGAGTATGGAAGCAACGGCGCCTCGGATTAAAGAGAGAACTGAACCAGAACCAGACTTTGGGAAACATCAGGAAGAGACCGCAGCATCATCAAACCAACACACCTGTAGCAAATGAGTTTTCAGAGGCCAAAGCTACGGGGCCTTAGCTTCACAAACAATCCAGTCACTTGTTTGCGCTGAATTAGAGAGAGACGAGAGACGGCCAAGAGAGAGACCAGAGAGAGACTAGAGAGAGACTAGAGAGAGACCAGAGAGACAAGAGAGAAACCAGAGAGACCAGAGAAACCAGATAGAGTCCAGAGAGAGACCAGAAAGAGACCAGACAAAGATATATTAAACTTGACCAAACCATATTAAACTTGATCAAACCATATATAATTCTTCAAACTCCTAGTGTCCGGTCCTGCTCCTACACCTCCTCCTCCTCCTCTTCCTCCTCCTCCTCGCTTCACTCTTGAGCCTGTCTCTCCCCGTCGTCGCCTTCTAATGCATTTTTAATATCTCTAATGACAGCAGAAGAATGATGTCGTTAGCCGCGCTGCTAAAACGCTGACTTGAAGTGTTTTGGACGAGTGTTTTCATAATGATTTGATGTAGATTAAGGCGAGTCGTAACGAGGCGTTCGGCTTTGAGAGGGCGCCAGATAAGCACTTCACTTTCAACTTTCACACATCACTCACACTTGGCACTTTGGAGGGTTTTGCAGACTTGTTTAGAAACTCACAGAGATGGAAGCTGAACGGGGTGAAGGGAAGGAGACCGCAGAGGGACGAGAGAGAAGAGAGAGAAAGAGAGAGAGACCACAGAGGGATAGAGAGAGAGAGAAGAGACAGTAGAGAGAGCCGAGAGAGAGAGAGACTAGAGGGAGACAAGAGAACAAAGAGGGACTTGAAAGAGATCAGAGAGAAACTAGATAGAGACCAGAGTGAGAGACCAGAGAGGGAGACAGAAAAAGTCTAGAGAGAGACAGATAAGAGAGAGAACTTTGAGAGAAACCAAAGGGATCAGTGAGAGAAAAGGAATAGAGAGACCAGTGAGTTATTAAGTCTTCATGAGTCTATCTGCTGACGGGTCTCCTGGTCTCCTCCTGGTCTCTCCTGGTCTCTCCTGGTCTCCCTCTGGTCTCCATCTGGTCTCTCCTGGTCTCTCCTGGTCCCGTCCTGCTCTCCTCCTGGTCTCTCCTGGTCTCTCCCGGTCTCTCCTGTTCTCCTCCTGGTCTCCTCCTGGTCTCTCCTGGTCTCCTCCTGGTCTCTGACTCTGATGCGGTGATAACAGTGTCCTTCTGTAAAGAGGACCTTGTGTTTCGTTCAGCTGTGAATCCATTCGTGCAGCTCAGTTAAACTTGTTTAAGTGTGACACAGTCCAGCGCCCCCTGCTGCTCGTTACTGAGAGAGACCAGGGCCGAGGGAGACCAGGCCACGAGAGGAGAGAGACCCCCCCCCCCCCCCCACCCATGTCAGGGAGAGGGAGAATGGAAGATCTAGATAGACCAGAGAGAGACTAGAGAGAGACCAGAGAGAGACCAGAGAGAGACCAGAGAGAGACCAGAGAGAGACCAGAGAGAGACTCGAGAGAGACCAGAGAGAGACCAGAGAGAGACCAGAGAGAGACCAGAGAGAGACCAGAGAGAGACCAGAGAGAGACCAGAGAAAGACCAGAGAAAGACAAGAGAGAGACCAGAGAGAGACCAGAGAGAGACCAGAGAGAGACCAGAGAGAGACCAGAGAGAGACAAGAGAGAGACCAAAGAGAGACCAGAGAGAGACCAGAAAGTAACCAGAAGGAGACCAGAGACAAATCTTCAGAAAAAAGTTCTTAAAGCCTCTTTTTTAAAACACATAGTTCTTTTGTTTGGGCTTTGAAAGTTACATCCCTCAGCTTTAACACGACACCGTACAAACCTTTTGCCTCAAGAAGAAGCCGGATACGAACACAGCTCTGCCAAAACCTCCATTTTATTGATTAAAAAGATGAGAGAGAATGAAAAAAGTCTCCCAGTGGCAGCGACGGGAACAGGCCATGATGAATGTCCTCCCGCGATACAGAAATGATACGAATAAATTAGACCAGTGCTGCAGCAAATTGAAAAATAAGGATTTAAATGAGCTCTGAATGTTGGAGTGTACAGGGAAATGATGAGGGATGGATGAGACGCTAACATAGACTGTGTGTGGATGGACAATGCTAACGCTAGCTCAATGAATCCCAATGGGAAAGTGCTAATGGACGAAGTTTGGCTCCGTCTCTCTCTGTTTTCTGATGATTTACATGTAAAAGTAAACTCTGCGAGGTCAGAAACTGGGATCTCTGTGATGGTGGTGGTGACTTTGAGCTACTCTACTCTACTTTACTCTGCTCTACTTTAGAAAGACAGAGATCAGGAAGAAACTAGAGAGAGAGATCAAAGTAAGAGGGAACAGAGTGAGATAATAGAGAGAGACAAGAGAAAGAGAGGGACCAGAGAGAGAGAGAGCAGAGAAAGAGAGGTGGACACAGAGACGAGAGAGACCAGATAAAGGGACTGGAGAGAGAGAGAGAGACCAGAGGGAAAGACCAGAGAGAGACAAGAGAGATAGACCAGATAGAAAGACTAGGGAAAAATAAATAAAGATTGTATTGTGTGTCCACCAGAGGGCACTCAGTCAGAACATAAGAACTAACAGAGGAGAGAGAAACGTGAGTAAAAGATGTTTTAAGTGGCTCCAGTTGAGCAGAGAGAGAGAGAGAGAGAGAGAGAGAGAGAGAGAGAGAGAGAGAGAGAGAGAGAGAGAGAGAGAGAGAGAGAGAGAGAGAGAGAGAGAGAGAGAGAGAGAACACACAGCTTTGGGACTTTCTGCTCTGCAACATGAGTAACTAGTTTAGACAAATTTGATTATGCAGCGAATTAATATGTTTCTCAGAAGTTACAGAAACCCAGGACCCAGGACTGAGGCTGTAGACCCAGGACTGAGGCTGTAGACCCAGGACTGAGGCTGTAGACCCAGGACTGAGGCTGTAGATCCAGGACTGAGGCTGCAGACCCAGGACTGAGGCTGTAGACCCAGGACTGAGGCTGTAGACCCAGGACTGAGGCTGTAGACCCAGGACCGAGGCTGTAGATCCAGGACTGAAGAGAGAGACCAAAAAGACAGGGAGAGAGAAATTAGAGATATCAGACAGATCAGTGTCTCTCTCTGTCTGTCTCTCTCTTCCATCTCTCTTACTCCTCACCCTCTCCTCTCTCGCTTCCTCACTCTCCCCCTCTCTCTCCCTCTCCCTCCCCCTCTCTCCTTCATTCTCTCCCTCCCCTCCCTCTCTCTCTCCTCTCTCCCCCTCTCTCTCTTCACTTGACTCCTTCTCGTCCGTCTCTAACAAACATATTTCCACGCCTCTTGAGCAGTGTGTTCCTGGAGCAGATGCAGATGTCAGAAACACGACACAAACATCTCTTTCGAATTAAAAGCCTCCGGTTCCATCGCTGTGGTCCGTGGGCGAGTGACAGTCCAAACACAGACAGACAATTATCAGGGAAAAGTGTCACTGAAAAAAGAGATAGAACACACTGACGAACCTGCCCTGCTTTGTTTATGTACAATACAGACAAATGACCCGTGTTTGTAAAGACTGGATCTGGGAAAGACTATGGAGAGATTAGAGAGAGAGAGACCAGAGAGAGACAAGTGAGAGAGACCAGAGAGAGACCAGAGAGAGAGACCAAAGAGAGACCAGAGAGAGAGACCAGAGAGAGACCAGACAGAGACCAGAGAGGGAGACCAGAGAGAGATACGAGAGACCAGAGAGAGAGACTAGATCAGAGAGAGACAAGTGAGACAGACCAGAGAGAGAGACTAAAGGGAGACCAGAGAGAAACCAGAGAGAGACGAAAGAAAGACTAGAGAGAGACCGGAGAGAGAGACATGTGAGAGAACAGAGAGAGAGAGACAAGAGAGAGAGACTAGAGAGAAACTAAAGGGAGACCGGAGAGATCCCAGAGGGAGACCAGAGAGAGAGACATGTGAGAGAACAGAGAGAGAGAGCAAGAGTGAGACCAGTGAGAGACACCAGAGAGAGACCAGAGAGACACGAAACAAAGATCAGAGAAAGACCAGAGAACCAAGAGCACTCCATACATTTTTATCATAGTTTTAATTTAGTCATTACATGTTCACAGTTGTAGTCAGCACATGACTCTCTCTTGTCTTTCTTTCGTCTCTATCTTGTCTCTTTCTGGTCTCTCTCTCTCTCTCTCTCTCCCTGGTCTATCCCTGCTCTCTCTCTCTGGTCTCTCTCTGGTCTCTCTCTCTGGTCTCTCGCTGCTCTCTCTCTGGTCTCTTCCTGCTCTCTCTCTGGTCTCTCTCTCCGGTCTCTCTCTGGTCTCTCTCTGGTCTCTC